CTGGAGCTAATGCACTTTTGGCAAGAATGAAACTAAACATAGCGAACCCGGCCTGCGGGCTCCAGAAAACTGTGGAGGTCGACGATGAGAAGAAGCTTTTGCCTTTCTTTGAGCGACGCATGGGGGCGGAGGTCCCAGGCGACTCTCTGGGGGAGGAATTTAAGGGGTACCTCTTCCGCATAACCGGCGGCAACGACAAGCAGGGCTTCCCTATGATGCAGGGCATTCTCGCCAACCACCGTGTTCGCCTCCTGTTCCGCACTGGTATGAAGTGCTTCAGGCCACGCCGAACGGGTGAGAGGAAACGCAAGAGCGTCCGTGGAGCTATTGTGGGTCCGGATCTTTCCGTGCTGAACTTGGTGATGCTGCAGAAGGGTCCCGCGGACATCCCGGGGTTGACTGGCGGAGAGAAGCCACGCCGCCTAGGTCCCAAGAGAGCCAACCACATCCGCAAACTGTTTAACTTGGGACCTGAGGCTGACGTGACCAAGTATGTCATCCGCCGCAAAATAGAGGGCAAGAACAAGAGCAAGGCCCCACGCATACAACGCCTGGTCACGGAAAGCCGCATACGCAGAAAGAGGCTCTACCGCCACAAGGTTAAGAAGCAGGCGCAGGCATCGAGGGAGGCGTTGAAGGAGTACAAGGAGCTGCTGCACAAGATTGCGGCAGAGAAGAGGCATAAGAGGCACGAGCACGGGAAGGCTCAGCAAGCAGCCTCTGCAGCACCGGCAGTCAAGACGGCTCCAGCGGCAGCAAATGCTGCTGCGAAGACGTCCGCAAGGAGGTGAGCCCCTGGGGGTTCTGAAAAGTTAGATGGGAGGCAAGGTACCGGCGTTTGGGCCGCCTGCATTGAATGCACAATCCTGTGCGGGCCACGAAGCGAGCATGAACAGTCCCCCTTCAGCAACCGTTTATCCCATTTAAATAACATATGGCGGACTGTTTTCTGCGCTCCGCAGCACCTCATACTATGGTAGTAGGCAAATGCCAGTAGTGACAATGCATTCGCAGGCCCGTGGGTAGCGAGGCTGGGGGCCCTGATAGTGTAGGAGGGTTTGCATTTGCTAGGTCGGAAGGGATTCTCTCTGCAACCATGAAACGTTAGTCCAAAGCGACGCACGTACAAACAGAATCAGCCAGCAATTGAGTATGCACGTGGTGAGAGGCTTGTGCATCCGAAGGATGTTTGCTCGTGGTAGACCTGGAGCTACCCGGAAGCCGGCGAACAGCAAAACGCCACAAGCCGGAAACAGTTACCCACTGTATATGGTAGACACGGCTTGGCGCTGCTGCCGAAGGGTTGCTGTGCTTCTTTAACGCGCACAAACGTGCACCAGTGTGCACCGGGTGCACGTATACAGATATATGTATAGATATATGTGCACACGTAGCCGAATGCTGGGCGAGGTCCGCCACTTTTTATTCTCTGCGGCGTATCTGCCAATGGATAGGCTACGAGGTGCTATATGTGATGAAACGAGCGTATTGCAGTGTACAGTGATTCAATCTGCGGGGAGCTGCGGCGTACTCAATAGCCGCAATGAATGCATCTAAGTATAGAGAGGGCAAAGGGCAACATCAAGAGCACACTAAATGTGGCCACTTCGAAACCGTTGGAGAAGAAAGATCACTAGTGTCAGGGCGGCGCACAGGCAAGCTTTTGGGGACGGCGCACACGCTAATTGCACTCTTGCAAAGACTGCAGTCAACTCCGCAGCTGTGCGAGGGTGCATTGTTGACTCGAGTTCAACGACAACTTGTTGCAACAGCAGCAGCTCCGCATCCCGTGCTGCGGCAGCCTCTGTGTACTGGCAGCGGCCGCTGAAGGGGGCCGCAGAAAAGTAGGTAGTGTTGCCTGCCTTTGTCCGCTCTTGATTACCTTCACTTCGGGCTAATGCGGCTTTGTGATGGCTCTGAAGAAGTGGAACTGGCAGCTGCTGTTCTAGCTGCTGCTGCTGTTGTACAAATACCGCCAGGTGTGACAGGACCGGGATTCTAACTGAGAAATGAGGGCACTTTCAACCAGGATTCTTTCTGCCAAAGTCAGGTGCGGAAGCCCCAAGTCCTAAGCTCAAGCTTCACTGCCTGTGAAAGAGCACATCTTAAAGAATTAGTTGCAGCGTGGGGTCTAACTGGGCCTTCCGCTTCAGCTAAGTTTAGACTCATCGTGAGCTTTGAGTAAAGTACTTGCCTGAAGAGTTATAGATATCACCTGTACCTGTTCCATGCCATATGTGGATCACCTCCTGCGAAGGCAGGGAACAGTGAGAAGGAAAGAGAAGACGCAAAAATCCACCCTCGACCTGCATTGCTCAAGGTTGCTGCAAGAGGTATTTTAGCAGGCGCGTGAACAGCAGCAGCCACAACTGCGAAGTGCTGGCGACGGTGTCGTTAGTTCTGTTGCCCATATTCTAAGATTTATGACATCATAAAGACTGCAGAGAAGTTTGCTGGCGGCAGAGTGAGAGCTAAGGAAGCAGCAAGTACAAAACCACCAATACGCCCACAGTAGCAGAGGCTGCCGTCAGCACTGACTGCAGCCGTTTCAGCTAGACACTCACATGTAAGCAAGCGCCTTCCGCAAAATCTGTTAGCAGTGCCGCGGCGTTCATGTGTTGCCAAGCCGTGCGCGTCTGAAAGAAGACAAAGGCTAGACTTGGAAGCTGGACCAAAAACCGTCGACTGGAACGGGAACACGAAGCCCATCTGGCTAGGCAGTCTGCTACCTTAGCCCTCTGGCTTACATTTTTCAGCTTCACGAAGATCCGCGACAGCCAAATGTGCGCAGAAGGCTGCACGAAAGACAATAAATACACATTCAGTGGGGCCTCAGCAGCAGCAGCAGCAGCTACAACACCCAAAAAGTACTTCGTGGGCAGCTGCAACAGGACACAAACTATAGCCCGCCGCCCTAAATGGCCTCGCCTAAACTTCAAGTTCTGCAGAAAAAGTAGCGCCATATCTGAGTCTGTTGGGTGTACGACAGTGTAGACAGTCTAGAGTGATGCGACTAACTTGTTGGGGAGACAGCCGAGAGGCAATCAGCAGGTTCTTTGCAGCCTCCTAATAGTCACATCCATCACATCCGAAGCACGGTCAATGTTCCTATCTCCCTAATGTAAAATAATCAGCGTGTTCATACGCACACGCATTTTCACACAATATTTGGCGGAGGTCCTCAAGAACTTTGCGCAGAGAGCCGCCCTCATGCCCATCTTTACAAGTGTACATGCCTTTAGGTATTCATGCACCCATGAACAGATAAATGAGCGCATGTTTGTTAATATATATATGAATACAAGCGCTAATATGTAATAAGTGAATTTTCTGCTACCATTAGACCTAAGTAATGAGAGAACTCACGATATACTGCCCTGCAGCGACTTGCAGCTTCCCCAAATGTAAGCGTGACCCTGCATCCCTGGGAAGTCTCGAAACCGCCTGCAGTGAACCTCACAGTCATCGCTGCAGTTCGTGCTGGTGATGCTGAAATTCACGCTGATGCGCTCTTGGTGGTGCTTTGCTGCTTGCGGCAGTACCAGCGTTGTGCAGGAATCCTTTGTGGGCACCATGCCTATTTCCATACAAAGACGATCTCTCGCCCCGAATTGCCATGCATGCGGTGTACATACATTTCTTAGAGCAACTGCTTAGCGAAACGCGCCTTACTCTTTTATATAGTGTTGCCGCCTTTTGCGGGTGGCCTGCGGCGTACATGCAGTAGGCGAGACGCGACAGCACAGTAGGTACTTGGGAGCTGAACAAACGGAGGCAGCTGCAGAGCACCTGAGCTGCCTCTGCGGGCTTCTCCTGCCGTTGAAGTAAACCAGCAAAGCCGGAAAGGAGGGGGTAAGACGCCACGTGTCGAGAAAGTCCAACCTCAAACACCTCGTATGCCTAAAGCAACAACAGCAGGAACTCGTGGTAAAGCACTAAGAAGAAGCGTTTGGTTAACGTTCTTGTGCATCGGCAGTCGCTGTAGAAGCAGGCTCCAGGTGGATGCAAAAGAGAGCGCCTGCTATGTTCATTTAGGACTTACTTGCTCCAGCTGGTCCTGCTGCGCCAACTCTTTGCCACAAAGGGCGAATGCGTCCGAGAAAAAGTCTCCTAAATGTATGGCCTGACCAGCGCAAGTAAGCATCAAAAAGCTAATAGAATGACAGCAGTCACATGGAGAGATGGCGGCTATGCAGAGACAAATGTAACTCAGCAGAAGGAGACACACTTTATAGAAGGCCTCCACAGCCTCGTCCTCGAGATCCGCGCAGGAACAATATAGCCCTAGAATGCACCTGCAGCAAAGGTTGTACTTGCAGATGTAGGAGGAAAGCCATCAAGATTGTCGTAACTGGATGCTAACCAGCCAACAGTTCATTCTTATGAGCAGCGAAAACAACACGAGCAACAATTGAAGCGACAGGCTAGCGTGGGCTGTAGCAGCAGCAGCCGCGAGAGACGCTGGCACCACTGCCGCACCAAAAGTAGGGCTCTTCCGGAGATAAAATGTCAAGGGCAACAAGAGATACTCTCTGCATCTCGGCCATGTCCTTCAGCCGAACAGCAGCAGCGGCCCACGCCACAAGAGCCTCACCAGAGACACCAGAGTGCTCCGCCGCCTTCCTACACGAAAACTCCCGAAACCGCAATCCCTAGAGCCCAGTCTTCGAAACCCCGCCGTATTACTTGGTGTGCTTGGCTCTAAAGGTTGCGCCTGTCGGCTTAATGAAAGTACCTTGGCATACAGCTCAAAAAGCCCACCTGAAAAACTGGATGGCCGCAAGGTCGCGCCCAGAAGATGCATGCGCACTCCCCAGCAGCTCCAGAAAAAAGAGACACCTCGTTGGCAACAGCGGCCACGAGGTGAGCTGCTGGAGCACCAAGGTGCCCTCTCCTCGCTCCCGCAGCAGGAGGCTATTCGCTGCAGCAGCACCGGCAACAGCAAAGCCGACAGCTTCACAAAAGGAGGCCTGAATGAGATGTACTGATCCAACTAAACCTTAAGGTCTTGTACCTATGACTCGCATTGTGTGGCTGAACAGCCGAGAGCCGCTTCTCCAGAGCAATTCGTTCTGCAGCAACTGCCAGCGTCTTTGTTGCTGAGCACGCATAATGCGCAGCCACTGCTGCTGCTGGCGCTGTTGCTGCTTGAGGTCACGATGCTGCTTCTCCAGCCACAACCCTCTACTCAACTGCAGAGCGTCCACTGGCCCGCTCTGCAGTTGCTGTTGCAGCAGCTTCAGCTGTGTCTCCACTTCCTCTAGCTGCTCCTCCAGCTGCTGCTGCACACGAGTAGCAGCCCGCTGCTGCTGCAGGAGCAGCAAACAGCAAAAGCGACGCATGATGCGCCCCACACGGTTGGGGTTCAATGCTGCATCCAGAAACTGTGTGGGACTTTGGCGCGGAGGCACCAACAAGAAGAAGGACGTGTCGTTGCACACTGAGCAGAAGGCAGCAGCCGCACTCGCATAAAAAGTAGCTGGGTGCTTGATATGGCTACGAATGCGAAACCAACTCTCTAAAGTGCTTTCGGCGGCCACTGCTGAATCACGCTGCAGGTGGCTGTCTGCTGCTGCAGCCAAGAATCCACACCATTTCACCCAAAGGACAGAAGCAGCATCAGAAGAAGCAACAACCGCAGGACGCACTAACGGGAAGCGCCGCTTCGAAAGACCCTAGGGCAAAGGGGGACAACTGAAGAGCGCAGAGGAAGCAAAGAGCTGAACAGCGGCGGAATGCAGCCTGCGAAGAAGACGGAAAGGCTGCTTCCTGTACACAGGAAAAGAAGCATCGGCAGTAGCAACAGGTGACGTAAGTTCACCGTCAGGAAGAGCAAGCGTTGTGAATGTAGTATTAACCGGGTCAATGGCTGCTTACCCGCTGGTAGGCTAGGCCCACAAGGTGCCACAGAAAAGACCATGCCTCAGCGCCAGCAAACAAAGTTTGTTTCTGCAGCAGCGGAAACTGCAGCACCTGCTGCTTCTGCTTCTCCGCCGCGCCCTGCTGCCGCTCACTTGCTGCAGTTGCAAACGTAGACGTTGTCCCTTCTCTCATACCTGCTTCTGTGGCCTGTTGCTCCTGAAGGGCACCTGCTTCAGTCATTTTTTTGATTATCTTGCCTATTCGCTGCTCTTCTGTTGATACACAGATCACCCGAACCATTAAGCCTTAAGTCATAGACGATCAGCCCCTGTAATTACACAGTGTATATAGAAATGCTGACAGCTAACTAAAATACTAAAGGCCTCCTTGAGATCTAGAAGATGCATCGAATGTGTCCGCAACAGACAGTACCAATGCTTCAAAAATTGGCGCCACAGCAGCACTGCAGTAGTAGCAACTTCACCTGTGACAGCCGATTGGTCAGGGGGTCCGAAGACAGCATTAAGTGTGTCCTGCAGGAAGACGCAATCACTCACTTTGTTACACCTGAGCCCTTCGTCCCAGCCACTGGGCTAATATGCACCCGTACAGCCACACATATCACCGCCACACGATTTACTTCAGGTCTAAGCGCTAAGCACATAAACCTCACGTGGATTCTTGAGCTGTCTACAGCGAGGCTGCAGAGAGCAAGGAGAACCTGCCGCTGCACTCCTCCAGCTGGGAAGCCTGAGGGGAAGCTCGTGCATCACAACTTGTCAACCCCAATTGCTGTGTCCCGACAGAATGCACGGCGCAGTGAACGCAACACGTTGACTTAAGCAACAAATCCCCGTTCCACACATGGCACGGTGAGCCTGCACCAGTAGTAGCACCACTGATAGGACTATCGGGAACAGAAGCGCTGCTTGAAGCATAAGTCTCCCCACCCGGATCAGCCGCGGCTATATCAAGTATGGTCTGGGATGCCTGCTCGTCGGTTGCAATACGGCTCAGCGCATGCAGCCACTGGAGGCTCCCAGGGTCCCCAGCAACTGCAGCACGCAGCTCCACTTCAAGCGGCCCTCTGTTTACGGCCCGTTTACACAGAGATCTATGCGGCGGCGGCGCCCCTAGTTCGAGTGGACTCTCAGCACCGACGGAGGGAAAAAGCCATGAATAATCGCTAGCCCTCTTGTCTGTTGTATGGGCAGCACCTGCAGCTGCTCCTGTGCCTGCAGCTACTGTGACTGGTGTTGGATGCAAGGAGGGAGGTGGAGGGCAGAGTAGAGGGACGCTGTCTGGCGTGAAGTCAGAGAGTGGGACACAGCCGCCACTGTCTCTGCTGCTGCAGCTGCTGATTCTGCCTATGTTGCACGTGCCGCAGTGATGTCTAAGCAGGGAGATATGTTGATGCATGAGCTCTGTCATCATTTGGATCTGTCGTGTCATCCGAAATGCAGTCAACGCTGCGACTGCTGCCTCGAGCTGATACGCATAAATCTCAATGTCACTTCCTGTCACACGGCCGCAGCTTGAACCATGGAGAGTGCCAGTAGGATCTCTCTTGGCCCCACCCGCTCGGAATTCCCCTGGACTCCCCATGGTGGACCCCGGCTGGAATCTCCTGGACGGATCTAGCGCCGCACCGCCGAGCTGAGACGTCAGGCAGCCAACAGAGCAATCATAAACGGAGCTCTCAAATGCATATAGCGACTGGGAAGTGCAAGTCGAAAAGTGCTGGGGGTACCACGGGAGCAAAGCAAAGAGCATGTATAGTTCTCGGTCAGCGAAGCCCCTTTGATGATGTTGCAGTGTTTAGCCATGGCCGGCCATATAGCAGCTCATACAAATATGCCTATTTGCACAGTTAGAGCTGAGAAAAGATGCCGCTGCTGTAACCAAACCTTGCAGAACATCGAAGGGGCCGGGAACTTCCGCGTAGCTCAGGGTACAACGGTCCGCCAGTGTCTACATAAGCAATAGCAGGTACATCCCCTATGTCCATAAGGAAAACAGCGAAATATGCGACACTAAAGCCAAGAGATTAAGATTTTGTCGAAGAGGCTCCGTAGGTGAAGGGGCGAGGCGCGGAATCCTGCTAGGCTTGTGAGCGAGCAATGTGGCGTGTCCATGTGTCGTCAGTGCCTCGCTTCACTGCGCTTATGTGCCTTTCACCGTATTTACTCGAGAGTTGTTAGATATTTTTTGTGCGTCTGCAGTGGACGGTTAAGGAGGAGAAGGAAAAATGGGACACCTTACGCACATTAAAGCAGCAGACGTATCCAGCAGCTCTAGGTGCACGCACAACAGCAAATGCGGCCTGTGCACACATGAAGAAAATAGTTATTTTCACTAAGATATTACAATGCACTCCGCAATGATCTTGTCAGACGATCAGTGCCTGCCACCGAGCGGCTTTGTTGTTGAGTTCGAGGCAACAGCCCAGGTTTCACTCGTACATTCCAGCCACATTCCAGCCAGTGTACATTCCAGCCAGTGCAAAAATGTATTCACGCAAACTGCCGTCTCTAAAGCTACCCTCTAGCTGCGGACCACCTACGGAGGGCGCATTGCCATTCGCGGCCCTACAGGAGCAACTGGCGGCGTTCACTGCAACCTCTAGGTGTGCTGCGCCGAGTAACGATGTATAGCAGTGTAGATAACAACGCAATTCTTCATTCAGCACCCCGTTTTTGGTGCGCCAAAGGCTCCTCGGGCCTGTTACGGGCGCAATGCGACGAGGAGTATAGCGACTGTCGCTTCACTACACTTAACATCAGCTCGAAGAACCACTTGAAAAACAAGAAAAACAGAGTATGCGCCGCTCATGACGCTGCTGCTGCTGGATTTTGACTTAGATAGCTCGGAATAGCAAGCTATGTAGTTCTAGAGTAAGTAGCCAGTCAACAAGTGGCAGAAGTGGCAGCGTAAAAATTGATCTACGCACAGCTAGCTAGCACGCTAGCTACTCTGACAATAGAAAGAAAAGGCCCACAATGTGCTGTGTTGCCCAAATTTGCCGCGATGCAACAACTCTGCATTGCCAGCATTGCTACTCATGTTTCTGTCCACTATTACCTGTCAACCGGGCATTTTTCACATCCAGAAAGCTAGGCAGCCCTTGGAACCCCGTTGTTGCCAACAGTGTGAACTCGCACAATGCGACAGGATCTCCTGACCGCGTCAAGCAGCAGCAACAACGCGTACAGCCAAATCCGTCCCAGAGAGCTTCAACAGCTAGTTATTACTATCATCCTCCACTGCAGGAGTTGCTGTCCCAGTGCATCTCACAACTTGAAGTATCGAACTCCGGGACGGATATCAAAGGCGCTTATACGGGCCTGCCTGGTTTGAGCATTCTTCGTCTCCTCCTGCAGCAGGAATAGCACAGTGTGGCAATTGGCTAGAGCAACAGCACACCACGAGCTGTAGCACTTAAACACAGCAAGGAGGGACGTCATGCTAGGTTCAGCAGAGAGACATCTACTCATCACAATGAAGACAGCCTCAGTTCTGGCAAGACTAGTGAAAAAGTTACAACACCAAAGCAACGTTTAGTGCGTCACAGCAGCAACAAGAGCTGGTACCTTCAGCAGCTGTTTGTTGGCTTTTTTGTTTGCTCTCAGTAGGCGCTGGGCCTCCTTCACAGCAGCCTTGCGTACTTTCCTTTCCTCGGTTGTTTCCCCGCGAGGCCGATAAGTAGAGACCTAGGGGGAAAAGGTGCATTATGTGGAAGAAATAGCAAGAAAAACCAACACCTTCAGGAGAAATACACATAAAAAGAACAACAGACAAATTACTCGGGGAGAGGACCAAGGAAAGCTGAGGCACCACATAGTCTGACAATTAGCGGCAAGAAGACACTGGTACAAGCATACAATCACTTCATTACACGAGCTGGTAAAAAAGACATGAAGCCCCGGTGCCCTTAACAGCCCGCGCCCTTGCCTCAGGGAGCTCTACAGTTGTTCCCGTCTCCTCAAGGGTTGGAGGCAGCTGTGCGCGTCGGGGCCCCTGAGGCTCCTTAGCACCAAGGGCGCCTCCGCCTAGCCTGCACGGAGGACGGACAGGAGATTGGACTACAAAACGTCAAAATGGTTTCCTGTCTCTTCGACAGCCTTGGATACACTTGGACAGTCAACACGTAGACAAGCAGTAGCATCTAGCACTGCAGCAGCTCCTGTTGACCCAGAATTTGTAAAAAGAAGTGTTGCGACATTTGGATCGGAACCGGAAGATGATCATTAAAAACTGCGACTCGCGCTGCTTACGCTAGGTAAGGAGTCAAGGAAAGTTTAGTGGTTCTAGAGGAACCAACGATGATGGAACGCGGCTGTACTGACACCCCTGACCTTGCGCTGATGATGGTCTCTCCGTCCCTAAACCGATCGCAAACACTCACCACACAAGCGCAGCAAACCCTAAACTCAAGCACCAAACTCATGACCCTGCACTAAATTTACAACTTAAGCATCTAACATAAGCTTAGCAGCGGAAACGCGTTCTAAGCCCTGCCCTCAAGTCCCGCAGGCAGACGCGCACCATGATGGTCTCGCCCGAGCAGGCAATAGCGGTTCAACATGCACTGTAGGCGCCCTCTCCTCTTCTTCTTCTTGTAGTCTGGCAAGGGCAAGGGTCTTCTCTCTTAGTTCATCGTCTAAAGCATAACACAGCTGTGAAGCATGGGCCCAAAACCCTTAGCAGCAGCCTTTAGTAGCCTCTCGCCTCTCTTTGCAGCAGCTAATCACCTCTGTTAGGCATATCATCAGCTGCTGATCTGCATGCTGCTTGAGACATGTACTGGATAGCCCTCCCACGAGCAACAGGTACTTAAGGTATCCAAATAGTTCAACAGAAGCTCCTGGAAATGCGTGAGCACGAAAAACTTGGCTGCACAAATTGTCAACACCCGCCAGCTAGTGCTAACTTGCGCACCAATGTCACAAAGCCGAAAATCATCGTCCTCCCGCTTTAAATTGCTACTACTGTCGGCGCTGCTGCGGCTGCTGCTACTGCTGCTGCTATCTCTCCGGCGTTGAAGGTGCTCTCCCCGTTTCGAGATGTCCAAAGCGGGCGTTCCTGCAGCAGCCCCCACACTGCTAGCCACACAAATCCTTACCCTTCAAAAGAAACTAGGCTGAGGGAAAACGCATGCTCTGTGTCCCAGGTCTGCAAGGCTTTGGGGCTTTACAGCGTCTCAGGCTTGCTTGCATACGTTCTTGGGATTTCAAGAAGCTATCAAAGCACTCCTCGTAAGCAGAAAAAGAGTCGCTCTCATCCACCTCATCTGGGTCGAGCTGTACCAACACGCAAGCACTAATGACTCAGTAAATCATTTGCCATGAACACTGGAAAAAAGCAGATAAGTCAAGAATGGAGACAGAAGAACACACCTCGCCGATGCACTCGTCACGGTACTCCTCCAACAGCTGCTCAAGCCTCTGCCTGCACAAAACCGCATGACAAAACCGGGACCCTGAACCATGAAGTCTGCATCCTGGTGCGCTACTTTTGAGCAGCCCCATGATGAGCCTCATCGCTGCAACGGTATTTCAAGTCTGCTCTAGAGAAGTGCACTGACGCTTGCGTGTCGTCTGCGCTGGCTTTGTATGCACGTTTGTCCCTATCTGGGGTATCTATCTCCTCCTCTGAATAATCAAAGGTGTGCTCCTCGGTCCCAAGATCCTCGCTATCTCTCTCTTCAGGCTCCCCAAACAAACGATCGCTGATAGCCGGCGGCAGTAGCGGAGGTCTCGAGCCCCACAACAGTTCTTTCTCGTCAGGCACCTGGAACATTAAATGTTAGCCGACAGGAATAGCCCTAATGTTTGGCAAATATCTTTTTCGGAAGATTCGCTTTTCACAATGTCGCGTGGTCTTCACCCTATTTGCAAACGTTAACCCTTCAACCTGACCACATACTGTAAACCGTGAGCCGCACCCATTGTCTTCCATCTGCGTCAGTAGCTGCAGCGGCGACAAAGTCATCCGCAATCTCCTCGTAGGCATCACAGGCTTCTAGGGCAGCCAGAACCTGGCTAGCTGCAGAAGAACAGTCACAAACAGCGGTGGTTGCTATGGGGCTTTGCTGGTACTGTTGGTCTTGCTGCAAGAAGGCGCTGCTCCACTGGGTTCTATTTCCGAAGAAGCAGGAGCTGGTCAGAGCCACTTGGAAGCATCTTGTGGCTGCGTTTATCAGCACCTTCCTTGTCCCTCCTCATGTTTGCCTCTGCAGCCTTCTCCTCCTCAGCGATCGTTTTCTTGCCTTCTGGATGAGACAAGAGCGTGCCGCCCCCCAATGTCTAAGACAAATTATACACACACGCAGGAAGTGAAGAACCCTGATAATGAATGAGGAGTAAATAGCAAAGCTAAAGCGGCAAACCTATACACAAGAAAGAGCATGAATGCACGTAGCACGGAAAATAAGGTAGGCAAATAATTGAGAGAGACGCTCAGTAGACACGCTAGAGAGCGTCCGCGGAAGGAGGAAAAAACATGCAAAAGATCATGCTGCTAGACCTCAACAAACAGCAACCGACAAGATTGAAAGCAGACCAGCTCTACAACGCAAGAGAAAGCTATACAAAGTGAACGGAGCTTGCAAACACACAACAATGAGCACACGCAAACACTGCAGAACGTAAATAATGAAAACGCATAATGGGGGACGACTCACAACCAGGTGCTGAGAGTAGTCATATCCGTCTTGAGGAAAGTAGCAATCGCCGCTCTGTAGAGTCACACAAACAAAACGGAAGGTAAATTGTACGGAAAGACCTGGCAGAGACAAATTCACATTTACACAGTACTATTACAAATGCGGAGTCAAAGTATCGTGCAGACACAAGGACAAGCACAGAGTGGGGCATTACATGGGGACTGGACACGCGCAGCAATAGGAAAGACAGAAACAAACCAAGAATGGCCAGCATGCATAACGTAAATTGGTAGGGAGGCGAGTTTCCCGAACTTAGCCCTAAGCCCTACACCCTAAAACAAAAACCTGCGCCCGCAATATGTCTGTGAAAAAGAATAAAGCTTGTAGTTGCCCCAGAAAAAAGAAGTAACGGCACAACCATGCAAAAAAGGCAGGAATCGACGGCACACCAAGTCCGGTTCTGTAGGTCTTCTCTCGGGAACCTGAACAACAGAAACGCGCATCCGTGGGGTTTAAAGCCTTCAGCATGTAACATCGCCGGATGGCATCATAAGTGTAGAAAGGTTTTCCCCAAATGCAGCGGCAGGCAATAGCCAGAAGGGGAGCACTAATAATGGAGAGTAACCGAAAGAGGCAAATACATACGGGGGACAAAAGCACAAACCTACACACACAGACACAGTGGCTCAAACAAACACAGACAAGAAAACAGCTAAATGTAGTTATTCTTACGACTGTTTCAGTTCCAAATTCTTGTTGATCAATCTGCTTCTGTAGGTACTCTGGAAGGGGTTGCTGTGGCTGAAGACAAATCGACAGGACACTGGATCATACGTGGTTCATTACTTACGGTGAGCAAGAACCCGTTGTTCGTCTGTAAGGAACCAAAAAATGCAGAAGCACGGAAAGACGAAAATGTTGGTGGTTTTGACGCATCGTTGCTGTTGCTCTATTGGCTTCTTTCCTTTGGTTCGTGAGTCCGCTGCTGGACCTTCTAAGTTGCTTTTTCTGGGGACACTGACCAGCCTGTCAAACGTGCCCACAGTTTTTAACGTAGCGCCACAAAACCTAGCGACAGGAGGCAGGCTGAAGTGGAGCAGCAACGACTGCAGCAGCCATCAACGGCTGCAACTTACCTTGTTTCTGGCATTGGGAGGTATGACCCGCTGCAACTGCATGCGAACCGATTTTGTCTGGTCAGCTGCTGCTGGTCCCTGTCGCAATTGCTGCTGAGAGAGGGGCAATAACTTGAATGTGAAATTGTTGGGGTTATTTTTTTGGAACCGAACTTTCCGGCCTTTTCCCTGCTGCTGTTGCTGTTGTTTTTGCACTGTTGCTGTTGTCGGGTCCCCTGAGTCTTTCGCTGTTACTGCTCCTGATGCATTACTTTCGGGGGCCTCAGCAGGAGGCCCCTCAGTAGTGTATGTTCCCTTCTTTGACATTTGAAGGTACTGGACTAGAAGACAAACTCAAGCCGCTCTTGCAACTGAACGCAGGTACTGCTCTTGCTGTTGCCGCCTTTCTGCAGTTGCCGCGCACAACAGGAATGCCTGATGGAATCAAAGGAGATAGCCGACCTTGTTGGCCGAAATATCAGGCCCAAGCATCGATATTTCGAACCCGCATCAGTCAACGTCACGGTTACCCCTCCTCTGCGTCATCTAAACTATCCCTCAAATAAGCTCACAGTTTTCACCACAAAAGGTACAAATTTTAGCGTGAAACGCTTGCGTGTGGGTTACATGCGGAGCGGAGCAGTCGCAGCTGCTGCTGTTGCATGCGCCAGCAGCAGCCGGAAGTACGTTTCTGGATTTGTTTTATCAACGGTGGAGGGAAGCGGTAATAATCACTCAAATGCAACTTCCTTTATTTCTTTTCTCTGTGCTGGTTTAAGCAAGTTTTCTTGTCGTTTGGCAGCGGCAGGTATAATAGCGTGTGCGGCACTGCGGCGGCAGCGGGACTTAGTGTGAATATGGTGGGCAGGTTTGTGTCTCATTCCTGTCCTTCTGTTTCATACTTTGCAAAGCTCCGCATTGTCCAGTTATGTTTCACTTAGTAGGCACTCATCTGTGGATGGCTGCTGCTGCCGCTGGTGCTGCTCGCGCAGCTTCAGCAGTGGGACGGCACTCAGCTAATGCTGTTGTACCAAGAACTGTGGGATGCCGTCCTATAGCTTCAACAGCCGCAGAAGCCAGAGTGCTTAGAAATATCTGCCGCAGCTACGCCTCTTTTTCGGGCGAAGCTGCTGTTGGCATCTCAGTCAACACAACTTGTGGAATGCTACAGCAACAGCACCGCCTTTGCCGTGTGGCGTACAATATTGGTAACGGAAAGAGCATCAGCACATACTTAAGGACTTTTAAAACCGTCTCACCAGCAGCTGCCATTGAGAGGCCTCGACCTACAGAGGCCTCTTTCGGCGCCGAGGACAGTAATGTTGCAGCAAGGGCAGCAGAAGCAGCAACAGCGACAAATACTGATGCTTCAACAACAACATCTTCGGTCTTAGATGATCAGGAGAAGCTCCTCCTTCGATGCACTGATAAACCAAACTACGAGATCTATGCCTCACCTTCTGTCATCTCCAGGTTGCAGTACGTCAAACAACGACGAAAGGCTTCTGTTACCCCTGCAGCCGCAGGGGAGAAAACTCCTCCCGCAGAAACTACAGCAGCTTCTGATTGCCTTGGACTCAGAGTAGCAGTTTCAGGGGGAGGATGCAGCGGCTACAAATATTCCTTTGCAGTGGTGTCGCTTGAAGAAGCAGAGCGAGACGGGGACCTGTAAATTTTAGACCCTACGCTCTTGCACTCAGATCTCGAATTTTTGTGATGAGCGGTGATCAGAGAATTCGAACCTGGCGCAAACGGCATTAGGCTTTTGTCTTTTTCCCTAGGCTTTTGACTTTTTCAGTTATTTGCAATGCAGCGGCTAAGGGTTTTAGGATTTTTCGTTGCTGTGTTTGTCGCAGGATCTTCCGGTCATCTCCCGAGCTGGCCTGCGAAGAGAAGACAAGCCTTGAGGATGGCACCATTAGTAGCACAAGCAGCGCCAACAACGACTGGTTTGTGTGTTTTCATCCTTCCGCGTTGCGTTTGGTTGAAAGCGGCAGCTTTGTCGCATTTGAGTCCTCATTGGGCGGTTCTTCGTTCGTTTTGAAAAAAAACAAGAAGGCATCAACCACCTGCAGCTGCGGACATTCCTTTGGCATAGACATTCCGTTCTAGATGCCTATGGCGGCCTTCACCTACTGCGTCAGCTCCTGCTGCTATTTGTGCTGCTGGCGCTGAGTATTTTTCACCGGGTGATGGCTCCAGTGGGGGTGGTGATGCTTCTGAAATTGCTGGAGCTTGCAGCGGGCGGTGGTGCTGCTGTTATAAGGGGTAGCGGAGGCGGTGCTGCTGCTAGTGCTGCTTTGAAGACTCGTGTTTGTGGAAGGGTCGTATTGGTACAGGACACGTACGGGCTTGCCTGTTGTTTGCTTCCGGGGATTTTTCGTCTACAAGCTGCACCAACTGAATCCCAAATGCTGACCGGAAACTTCTTCGGCGTGAAGCATATGCCTACACAGAAAGACATGTGGATAGCATGTGGATGTGCCGCGCCGGTTCATAGCGTCACTCTTTGCGGGTTCAGTTGGGGTGAAGTGTCAGCCATTCACTGCGTGCGGCGCACAGCGTCCTACTGCTGCCGAGGCACAAGGCGGCAGCAGCAGCTGGGGCGGCAGCTGCAGCAGGACATACATAGGCCCTACCAATCGTGGCTTGAGCCCACGGGCAGGGAAAACGACGTCGATGCAGCAACAGTAACCCACGGCGAAGGGTTTCGTTCCCTCTTCGAGCCACGTAGAGGCTCTTTTTTCTCCCCACAACGGCTCAGGTTTCTGTTTCGCTGCATTCTGCCCCCGCTGCCAGTGGGTTTGCGGGAACCAGCGAACAAGCTGCAAACCCTAAATTGCCATTATGAGTTTTCTAGAGTACCTGGCAGCTGCCGCATTCTAGTGTGCGGCTCGCAGCCATGGAACAGCCATGGGCTGTTGTATGCGCAACGCTATTGCCCAACGGCTAGCGGAACGAGCTGAGGCCAGAAAAAGCCAGGTATAAAAGCGATAAGGAGCCTCTCAAAGGCGGATCTCTGCTCGAAATATTGCGTATTTGTGGATTTTGCTCCGCTCGAGGTTGGGGGGTGGCGGCTGTCTGAGTAGCCGAAATATTGCCATTTTGCCGGTAGTGGGGCAGGTAGAGAAGGCAACAAAGAGCCTCTGGCTCAAGGCGTAGTGCTGCGCAACAGTATAGTTGTGAACATACTTGAGATACAGAGGGGAGGCATGCGCGGGGTTCGTGCTTGTCTGCACAGTGGCCGTGCGAAAGAGAGGGTGCCGTCTCTGGTGCCTGGGGCGTCAGGCTCCTTTTAGCCCATGCGGCTTCTGTGTTCCAGTTTAGCTCGTTTCTGAGTTTCAGTCTTAATGTAGCATCCAATGGCGTACACTGAGGCGCGCAGCTGTTGCATGCGCGGATACTGGCCAGGCAAATTCAAAACCCTAGCCCCTCAACCCTAACGCCGATTGGCAGTACTTGTGGCTAGTTGTTGACTAGGCGGGATCTGTTTACTTTTGCAACCTGTGTGCATGCATGCTGGGGCTGCAGCCCCAGCAGCTGCTGCAGTCGATGCATGCGCTGTTGGCGCTGCATCGTAGAAAATATCCCACCAAACGCATGAGCGTTTCCTTTGGTTCCTTCATTTTCGTTGTAGTCTAGAGCCCTTGGGGGGGTTGTTTCGAGGCGATGCATTTGCATTTAGCAGCTGCTGCAGAGGCACGCGCTGCAGCAACCGCAGCAGGAACGACTGCTCCTGCTGTTATGCTGCAGCAACGTCAAATACACGGGCCTTTTTTGAAGCAGCACATATTAAAGATCTAGAGGCCTCCTCAGCGACAACATCATTCCCTTGTCAAAGCGCGTGCTCCAGGACCAGCTGGTTGGTTCACAGCTGCTGTGCAGCAGCAACGTGAGCTGCGCAGCAGCAGACCCGTAGCCGCTGCAGCTGTTACAGAAGCTGATGAGTCGACCATCTGCTTCACCTGCCTCTGTGGCAGGTCCAGGGCAGGGGAGCTGCGGGTGCCCCCAGCTGTCCTACCCCACGAATGAGGATATGCAAATAGCCCGTAGCAGTTTCTTACAGCTGGCCGCGGCGCTGGAAGCAGCGGCAAGAGGCAAGAGTCTCAGCAGTTCTGTGGAGGCGCTCAGGTGGTCACTTAGGGGGCTGCAAGACGTGGGAAAGTTGTTACTGTTGCTGCTGCAGCAGCAACAACGCTGCAGGACACTCCTTTCGCACTCAGTTTGGCCCGCAGCTGCAGAGAAAGTTTCTGCTGCATGTAGAAGCTATACTGAGGAATTCCTGCCTCAGATGCTACTTCTACACACCGTGGAGACTCAGTTGCAGGAGCAGGAAACGCAGCAGCAGCAACACACACTGCAGCAGCAGATGTTGCAGCTGGCAAGGGAACTGCAGCTGCTGCAACTCAGCTTTATGCACAAGCTGTTGGAGCAGGAACCAACAGCAGCGCCTGTCTGCGCTACCCCCATCGCCATGATCCTTAGCATGCACAGTGACGTGTGGTACACCAGCGCCAGCTCCACTACCAGCGACGGCGATAGCAGCAGCAGCAGCTTACAGCTAAATGTAGTGATGGCAACTTTTGACTTGATGCAGAAGTGCGGGGCAACACTGCTGCAGGAGACCCTTGCTGCAGCAGGCCGACTCAGCGGCAGGGGAACAGCCGCAGTGGCGGTGAGTGTGCAGCTTCTGTCTAAGCGACGGCCATAGCCCCCAAGCCCCGTCAGTTTCCTTTGCTGCCATCTAGTCAAAAGCTAGGTCTGTTGACACGTTAGCAGCAGCTGTTTCCATGCATGCAAATCAGGCGCAAAGAAGTCGCCAACGCTGAGTCTATGTTAGACCAACGCAGCCCTGGAGTTCACCCATCTTCCTGCCGTAATCAAATGGGCATCATGTCTAGGTTTGCTGCTGCTGCTGCTGCTGTTTCCGTCGCTGCAGGATTACATAGGTGGCGCAGCCGCATGCACCCGGGGCTTTGCAGCACTCAGCAGCATCCGTTCTCACGTCCACGAAGCCCTTGTGCGCTTGCCGCTGCTTCTGGCCCCCGCTGACACTTGTGGGGTCCCAGAAGGGCAGCAGCAACAGGACCAGGACAGGCGGGCTGCTGCGGCGCGGTGTATGCGCAGTTGCTTGTCTGTTCTTGCGTCTTGGGCTGAGGTACTCCACTCGCTTGCTGAGGACCCTGGAATTGCTGCCTCCGCCAGTAGAGGCCAACAGCAACCGCAACACGCATTGCTGCTGCAGCCGGAAGCAGCCCATGCAGAGCAGCTACTGCGGCACACTGCAGCGGCATGGGAAGAAGCCGATACTCAGCTGCTGCTGAAGTTGCTGCTGCAACCACCACACACTCATACGGAGACTCCTGCCACAACACCAGTTACACTAAAAGATAAGGGTGCCCACGTGGGTGGTGCTGCGACCTCAGCAGCCGCAGCAGCGTCGGCAGTCTCATCAACAGCAAGAGGAAAGGCGCTTGTGAACCCTCTCGTGTACGGCGAGGTGCTTCAGACGGCTATTTGGATATGCTGCCGTTTGCCACGGCGGCTGTCCTTCTTTCTGCAGCCTCTTATTCAAATTGCGGACGTGCTTCGAGGGTTTCACCAACAAGTCGTAGATGCTGCTGCTGCAGAAGACAATGAAGAAGCGGACTTCTCCAAAACAACAGATATCGCTGTTGCCGGGAACAAGGGCTGCGGGATCCGCTGCGTCGCCACAGCTGCAGCAGTCTGTGGTGGTTCTGCTGCAGTGCATGCTTTGCTGCTGTTGCTGCAGCGAGAGGGTCTGCGGCTGCTAGCGTCTCCCCGGTGCTCTCCGGCCGCAGCTCTTCTGCTTATAGATGCAGCAGGTAGACGGGAGCCTGCCCGATTGCTGCAGCGGGAAGCGAATGCCAAGTTTCAGTCCATGTGGGCAAGTAAGCAGCGGAGCAGTAGCGGGAGCTGCAGCAGCCCGCCGCTTGAGGAGACCGCTGCTGAGGTTAGCCTTCCAAAAAAGCGACGCATCGTAGAAGCCAGCATCGACAGCAGCAGCAATGCCAGTAACGGCAGAGCAGCACAAGAGAAAGAAGAACGAATTTCCGCCGCTGCTGCAGCAGAGAGTGTTGCTGCAGCGTCTGCTGATGCTGCGGCTGCGTCCCGCGTGCTGCTTGTAGCAGAGACAGATGCGGGAGCATGGCGGTCTCATGAGCAGCAAGTGGACGCCACTTCGTTGTTGCTGGATCTGTACAACCCGCAGCGCCTCACAGCTATGCTGATACAGGGGCTGCAGCGAGGCAGCAACAGCAGCAACGGCCGCGGCGGCAGCAGCGGCAGCCTAGCTGCAACGACCCGCGCGTGCGCGCCTGCAGTGGAGTTGCTGCGTGCAGCAGAGGCGAGACTTCAAGCGGGAGACAGCATACGCAGCAACGATGGCCCACCAGTGCGGGCCTCTTTTGGGGAAGTTCAGCATTCACTGCCAGCCCTTTTTGAACTTCAGGATGTGCAGGAAGAACCAATGGGCTGCAGTACAGTACGTTGCCATGGACGCTAGAGTGCTGTGCTGTGAAGCTTCACAACCTAAGTGACTACTTACACTTCAAGTTGAAAGTGAATCAGGAGCAATGCAGCAACGACGCCAGCAGCGCGAGCAGCTAAGACAGACGGCAGCTACTGGCCCCGATCTGTCCATTGGTCAAGCTTTCGTGCACTCATCTGCTCGCTGCAACTGTTGCCGCTGCTGTTGCTGCAGGAAACGGAAGAAAGCAGCCTGGCTATTTCTTTCGCGCCACGGCTGTCTGCGTCTCCAGAGGCCTACATGGAGTTGCTTGCTGCGCAGGTGCTTGGTAGGCTGCTTTGCTTCTTCTACTGCTGTTGGAGCAGTAGTAGTTCTTGTTGCGGCAAAAGCATCTGGTTTTAATGGTTCCTGCGCACTCGCCGATGCTGCTACTGCGAAGGCGAATGTTTGCGCTACTATTTTGGGTCTGTTCCCCGTAGGCGGTCCCCTTCCGGAGTGTCTTCCTGGCAGCAATGCGTATGCAGACCGTCTTTTATTCTTGCAGGTGAGGTTTTGAGGTAATGTCCGTGCCTTAGGAAGCCTGTGTCTGCTGTGTCGTCATGATGAGCCACTGAGGAAGCTGCCTTTACGGCATGCGATATCTGTGGCATTTCGCTCATTTGCTGTTTCCGCTGCTGCTTTTGTCGTTCTTGCAGTGGCGGCAGCAAATTTTCTTGCGGCTGGCCGAGCGGATGGCAGAGCCTATGAAGGATGCTTTGTTGCTTAGGGCCGTCAGAGCGATTTTCAAGTGGGTGTTGCACCTGCTATCTGCAGTTGGCTGGTTTCACAACCCTTCGTTTCTGTGTCCGCCTTCGCGGCATTTCGTTATTGAATTCCTCCTGCGGAATGCTTCTTGCGAAGTGCTTGCTGCTGCTTTGCTTATTGCCGCTGTGCTGGTGCGGCTGAATGGTTAGTGTGTTTATTGAGTATGTTGCACAATGTCTCCTTTCTAGCATACTGCTGAATTGGTTGTGCCTGTTTGTTTGCGAGCTCGTCTCCGTTTGTTTACATGCCACACCTGGCTTCTAATCCTATTATCTCGGGCTGAAGCTCTAGGGTTTCAGAGTTTCAGAGCTTTTGCTGTGTGGTCGCCGGTTCTCAGGAATGAAGAGGCTTTACAGGTGTCTCCTCAGGTAGGCAGCTGCTGTGTGCTGTGCGTTTTCCCATGTGATTGCTGCGTTAGCAGCAGCCACTACAGTGATTGTTCCCGTGTAGACGTACGCTGCTTTGTTGCCGCTGCAGGAGACCAGCGGCAGCACTCCCTTGTTCGTGCTTCAAGCAAAGCTGGCACTGTCTCTCGATCTTCTATTTTTTATCTCAAGCCGCAGCTGTAGCAATTACATTAAACAACGGCAGTTGCGACTTTCACAAGCTGCATCAGAATTAGGGGCGGCAGCAACAACAGCCGTGCAGCCTACCCTAACGCTTGCGCTTATAGGGAAATTGCCAGAAGCCTTGGAAGGGTGGTACCCCTGGAGGTTCCTCGTAAAGGGTTCCTGGGTTACCTCAACGTTCACAACTTATGAGAAGGCCTTCGCGGAATGCCTGTCCATGGCCTACTGCCAGGAGCTCTTGGATGACACGTAATACAAATTGGGCTTTCATAGCTGCTCGCAGTGCTGCTGTTGCTTACATCCTTCTCAGGCGCCCCCTCTTTGTCGAATGTCGCTGTCAATGTCAAAGCCATAGGGGCAGGCTGTTTCTGCTGCTGCAGTGGTCGTTACTTCGACACAGGGAGTTGTGGTTGCTGCTACAGGCTCATCTCTTGCTGCTGTGACTGTTGGTTCTTCTGTAGGGCATTGCGAGCTGCATACAGTCAGCTCATGGGGCGCTTTCTCGTGGCCTCACCGCTCGTGCCTCCCTCAGCTTTTGCGTTCCTTGCGTGGCTGGCAGACGGAGAGCCGCCGGCAGCAGCAGCTGCTGCTGCTGCAGATGCAGCCGGAGCGGCAACTGCTCCAACAGCAGCGTCAGCGAATTTACATGAGCAACAGAACCAGTCGCTCAGCGTGCAAGCACACGGCGAAGCTGGAATAGCAAATATGGACGATAGTGCGATGCAGGTCTGCACAGTACAGCCTGAATACCGTGGGCAGCAGCCGCAAGTGCAGCTGTTTGCTGCAGCGGATTTGGTTGCTGCATGCGGTCTCAGTGAGAGCCGCAGCGCCAAGGCCTTGGCCAACGATAGGCGGCTTGTAGTCGCTGCTCTTTCACAAATCATTAGGAGAAAGAACGCACCGTTGTCTCGGAGGTAAATTTCTGTCCCAAGCGTAAAACCCCTGACCAAAATCATGAATGCTCCGATTGCCGTATTGAAAATGCTTCACAAGTTGGAAAGTTTAGGCTCTTGTGTACGTCACAAGTTGGAGTGAGAGAAAGGAAAGTAATACGAGACATCAATTCTTACTGCGGATCTGGAGAGAATACAGAACAACACGCGGGAGTCCAGAGTCTTTTGTTCCTACCACGGTCGCTGCCTCACCTGAAGCTACTACATTTAAAAATTTTGCATTTCTTGCTAGCAATCTCTTAATGCTTCTAAATTTATTGCTGTTGCTTTACTGGCTGCTGTGGGTGCAGAACTGCGTTTACGCTGCTCATGCGCCTTTGCCATGTGGGCTCTGTGGGCTGCCGCCGTCTCTTCTCCCGTCTTTTCGCCTCCGTGAAGGGCACATACACTCCGCCAGCCGATAACTGGCAGCAGCAAACAATTAAAGATCTCCTTCTGCGCCACAAAGTCCCAGACGCAGCGCCATCATCAACAGTAGTAACGCAGGCCAGCGACTCCGAAATTAGTGTGAGGGCCCCCCAAGGGGCCCCCTTGTGGCAGATGCCAGCGCGTTTGCTGCAGCAGAGCGGCTTGAAGGTGCTACAGGAGCCGCCACATCACCAGGGGGATGAAGCAGCCACTGCTGCAGCTGCCGCCTCTGCTGCATCAGCGGAAGGGGCTTCCGAGGGTGCAGTATCCTCTATCGAGCTGCAGGGCTGGGGGTCGCCGGAATACTTTTCCGGCCGCTGGGTTGAGGAAGTGGCTTCCCTTGTTTTTGCGTAAGAGTACACTGCTTGAGGCTTCTGGCTGAGCTCTTGTTGAGCGTTTTTCCGTTGGCGTGTTTGCCAAGTGCTTAGGGCAGCCCCTAACGGCTCTAAGCACATCTATCGCACAACGATGCGCTGCAGTGCCGCGCATACTCATTTGCTTCGAACGACAGATTTGGACAGAGCTAAACATGCGTTGCCTTTCTGTTGCTGCCTCTTTCTGCATCTGTCGTTGGTGTTCGCAGCTCAGCTGGAGGACCAGGATCGGTGGAGGCGCTCCTGGGTCTTATGCGCATCAGCGCTTTCCCTGCTGCTGTTGCCTCAACACTGCTGCGGGAAATATCTACTGTTGCAGGTAGGGGTGGTGGGTTGCCGGCGCAGTTGTTGTTGTCGCCTTTGTTGCTGGCGGTGTTTGCTCACGGTCTATGCCTTGGTATTGTGGGTCCCGCGGCACAACTCCATGCGGTCCTGTCTATTATATCTTCTCTGCCTCAGATGCCGGGGAAGCAGCTGCTGCAGCTGCAGTAGAAGCAGCAACTGCTGCTACTGCAAGAGAGACGATAGAGCCACCGGAACGCGATACATCGGCTGCGGCGGAGGGGGAAGAGGCAACAGATGCCACAGCAGCCGCTGCTGCACTCGCCACGGCACTAAAGGCGAAAGCTGCAGCAGCAGCTGCCGCCTTCGACATGCGCAGCAGTGTCTTTGCAGTTATAGCAGCGAGGAATCCCTTTCTGCTGCACCTGCTGCTCCGCGTTGCTCTTTCTTGTTCAGACGATGAAGCGCTACAGCGTCATGAACAGCTGTTGCTGCAGGAAAGTTGAACGAAAACAGCAGTGACAATGCAATTTAACAGATGCACTAACAGTTGACGTGACAAACTCATTCAATAAAGCAGCAGCGTGCGTTTTCTGCTCCGCAGATTATAAAGCAAATAAATGACCTTCATCACCAGGTGTATCCGCAGCTGATCGAAGTGAGGCTGCAGCAAGATGCGCTATGTCTCCTCAGCATCAGCAAAAATAATGCCGTGCTCAGCATCTGCAGCAACAACAGCGGCACGAACGTTTTGTCCTCACATGTGATTTTGCCATTGCAGCTCCACCTACCTGAACAAAAGACATTGCTGCTGGCAATGTTGCAGCATCTAGCTGCAGCAACAGCAGTAGCTCAGCAAAATGGGGAAAACCTGCCTGTGCGGCTGCTGGAGGCTACTTGGGCTGTTTTCAAGGCCGACAAGAACTTTTCTTTGGTAGCGCCAATGGTTCGATTCTTCACTCGGTCCGTTATGCTGGCTTCCCTGCAGGGGTGGCTGCTGCTGTCTGAGATTCGTCCACTCTATTGTTCAATGGATTCCAGCTTCTACTGCTGTCACAGCACTGCCTGGTATTGTTGGATGCTATTCTGTTTTCGCGTTGCAGGGAACAATGCCACGTGTACATACAGCAGCTGCTGCTTTCTTCCGAGGACATGTCCCTTGTGTCTTCAGTTTTTGCTGATCTTATGCGTTCCCGCTATAAACTGAGGCAGCAGAAGCAGCAGCAGCGCCTCCAGGAATATGGCATTTCCCCAGAAGATCTGCTGCTGTGTACATACATGCTGCCGTGCCCTAGTGGTTAGTTCTATCCACTGCAGCAGTGGCAGCGACGACACTTCTTCTTCTGTGCGCTTTTGCGTGGAAAGGTGCAGCGAGAGCCACAGCAACGGCGTGAGCCAAAGCAGAATGAACGGCGAGAACAACTGTTGTCAAACATGTTGCTTTCGCATGTCTGCACGCAGTGGCTGAGAGGAGGAGACAAGCGGCAGCCCTCGATGTTTGTCTGGGGCTAACAGGGGCCCTTCCAACATCCCCGACCTCTGAAGAGCTTCTGCCAGTCCACGTGAGCACCTGTAAATCTAGTCTGGCGATTGGCTTGTGCAAATTTTCTTGGCTGGGGATAGTTTAATTTCAAGCTACACAGTTAGCAAGCTAGCGAGCTGACTGCTAGATGTCCACAGGCTATGGCGCTTGCTGCTTCTGTAGTTAGCGTGAACGTGGGTGACCTTGGAATTGACGCGTGGTCCTGCTGATACTGCTGCTTGTGCGTTCGCTGTAGGCTGTTGCTGCAGTTTGTCAGCGGCTGTCAGAAGATTCGGAAACGCCGTTACAGCCCGTCTTTGGACGCCTAGTAAGGCTTTGTCGGCACAACTGGTGGCACGGGCCGTATATCGCAGAACAGTGGGGAACATTGGTTAAGCTGTGCTGGCGGTGCTGCTGTTGTTGCTGCTGCTGCTGCAGCTTTGTCGGGCAGCGCAGCATCTGCCGTCCCTGGGAGAGTTCCTGTCGTCGGTTGTTTTTCCTGCTCTTATAGCCAGAGAGGTGAGATATCTATAGAGCTCAACGTGACAACAAACACCCAAAAAACGGTTCAAGAAGGGGCTACAGTTCGAGTAAAACCGTTTACACGTCACACAGACTAGAAACAGCGAGGCACGCGGAAGGAACAAAAGAGCAAAACAACAGATCGCAAATATGGGAGCAAAGGCGGGCTGCCGGGCATAAACGTCGAAAAAGGCAGCAAGATACCAGTATGTAGCAGCAGCCGCAGGAGGGAGGGCGATAAAAGCTAGCGTGCGAGACCGACAGCAGCAACGTGCACAGTGGCTTTAGGGGCAGTCGGGAGCAGACACAGGGCTTGGGTAGCAACGGTGATAGGCAGCTGTTCGGTTTTCAGCCTGTCGAAATTGCTTGCATCGGCAGTTTCCATGCCTTAGGATGTCCATTCAGCTGACAGAGATTCTGTCGGCCTCGACATACCAGGATAGTATGTCCAGCAGCACATGGACTATTGCTGGGTCGCGGCTGCGCGCTCAAAAGCAATGAGGACAGCTGTCGTTTATTTACTTTGCTTTCAGGCATGGCAGTCTCAGTCACTCTGGAAAGGGGTCAGTATTGCAGTGGGAGCCCTCTGGCCGTCGCACAGCGAGACGCTGCTGCAGCACATTCTCAGATTGCCTCAGTAAGATTGCATTCAGCAGCTACAATGCTTGCTTATGCTCGTGTGTTTTTTTTGTCCGACACTTTTCGCGCTCGTTCGTGCCGCGGCACAATCAATGTAGCAAGGTGCGTTGAAACGTACTGATGCTGCTGCGGATGCGGTTGTTCTTGCATGCGTGCAGAGAGGCAGGGAAGCCGCTGCTGCAACAACTGCAGCAAAGACTGCCGATAACAGCGGAATTATCGGCTTTGCTTGCGCAAGACCCCACGGTACGGAACGTACGCTGTTTGCTGCTGCTGGTCCCGTACCGTAGAGTAACAGTGGCGCGGACTGTGGAGACGGGTCATCTGCGTATGCATGCAGGCTCGGCAGCATTGCCCCCCGTACCTACAGGTCTTGTTGGGTCTGGCGACTTAGACTGGTACTTTGAAGTTACAAAATTACCTGGTGCTGCGCATACAGCAGCAGCAGTAGCAGCAGCGTGTTCTTTGTATCTTTCAAGGGACGCAGAAAGACCAGGCTCTTCCGAGTCGATCTCGCTGCTGCTGCCCTTGCTGCAGCAGCGTTGTTGGCGTAGTTAGTATAACTGCAAGCAGCAGACTGCAAGTGTTTTTCGATCGAAGCAGTGGCGTTAAGGTCAAAACACCTACAGAAAGCCGAAATCGATGCTTTAAAGTATTTCAAAAAAAATAGTCAAGACCCCCTCTGCCGATAGTGCTCCTCGCGCGGCTTGAGTAAAAGTCGCTGCCGCATCACCTTTCCAGTTACTTCCCACTGATAACTCGGCATCCCAAAGGGCAACAGTCTGGGAAGCCTGTTTTCCGAACGACGCTAAGGGCTGCCCTAGCCTCATTATAGTCTGGGGCCTAGCTCAGTTCACATAATTTATCTGTGCAGTCTGACAAAACACCAGCTCGGCGGGTTGCCACAACTGCACTTTGTTGTCAAAAGACACGCTTGCCCCAAGCAACGACTGTCTTAAGTGATACACGCTGCTGCTGCTACTGCCGCTGCTGTTCGGTGGGGGCACTCGCGCCGTCCGCCAGCAAAAGTCCGTAATGGGGGCTGAGTGTCCCGCATGAACAAACAGGAGCCCCGGCGGCCCCTTTGAATTGCTTCTCGAAGCCTCACTTGTCGAACCATCTGCTTGCATTTTATCATCTTGCTGCTGATCTAGATTCTGTTGCTGTTTCCCACTCGCTGCAACGACATCCCAAAGGGCCACAGTGCCATCCTCGGCGGCCGCTCCAAGCAAGAAAGCGAAGTCGGGGTGGAAATGCACGGTGTTGATTGAAGCCCCTTGTGTAGTGCTGCCTTCTTGCATGTATCCCACGGACAGAGACAGGAAAGACCTTCGGAGACAACGAGTGTCGAACAATGACACCGTCCCAGACGAGTCTCCAATAGCGAACACACAAGGTTCTTGAGGGCTCCATGAGACTGCATTTGCCGCAGCTTCCACTGCTGCCGTTGCTGCAACGGCCGTCTCCTGCCGCCAATCCATGAGCAAACAGCTGCTGTCCTCAGCAGCAATAACTGCGAGTTCTGGGTGATGCGGGTGTTGCTCCACGTCATTTAAGCGTGCACTCGCGTTTCTCTTCTCCCTTGGGCAGCGCATCCTGACTGGGGACATCTGAAGTGTCTTACTGGCCAGCTGCACCCCGTCAGGTGCAAAATCGCCGGGTCTTATCCCGCCTTTGCTGCTGCTGCTGCCGTTGCTGGTACTGCCAACGTCCCACAAACAGCAAACGCCCGCGCAGTCCACAGAGACGAGCCGATTTTTGTCGGCCGCGCTCCAGGCTAGACCCTCGACAGAAGCCTCTCCGTGCCCCAGAAGAGCCATCTGTGGCTTGGCCACGTTCAGGCTACCCCCCGGAGAACCCCCCGTTGTCGCAGCTGCCGCGGCAGCCTGGGTTGGGGGAGATGGAAAGGACGGGTGTTTGCTGTAATCCCAGAACAACACCAACCCGTCAGGAGTGCAAGATGCAATGTGCAGAGGGTTAAGAGGACGCAAACGCGCCCGGGAGACATTTCCAGGGTGTACGAGAAGCGCCTTTACTTCTAAAGGCGCTGGGTTTCCTGGCGGGGGCCCGCCACCACGGGTGCATTTGCTGCGAGGCGCAGTAAAGCCTGCGATATAAACGGCATACAGGACGCAGAAACAGCAGTAAAACGGAGAAACATAACAAATCGTTTCTTCCCGCGCACAATGCACAGCGCAGCAGGCGCAACAGTGAGTGCATCATTCTAAAGGCGACTACCATGCAACGGTAGAAACAACGCAAAGTGTACGCATAAACTCCGTAGAACAAGCAAAAAATGGCAGAATTACGATTGGAGCACAAATGTTCGCTGCAGCCGCATAATCAGTAATGGCAGAGGCGTGCCTGAGTATGTCTCGCAAATCATAGGATCAACCTCCAGAGACGGCTGAGGCACCCTGGCCTCCGCTTGCACCAAATAATTCTGCTCGCTACCATCTGTGGCAGTTCCCAAAAGCAGTCTCACAGCACCAGACGAGGACGACGCCTGCGCTGGCGGGAAGCACTCAACCTGAAGCAGCAGCAAGGGAACTAGCTACAGCCGCAAAATGGCGTCACCAGCACAGTTAGCCAAAAATGTAACCGTAAAACCAAGCAGCGAAGACCTCTTCTTCTAGACCTGTGCTGCTGCTGAAGCTTCAGAACCTTTTTTCATGCTGCAACAATGTGTGCACCCCGACGACACTAACGCCTTCAAAGCGCTGATTCCATGCATCGCACAGAAATGCAAACTGTGGATCCCATTTCTAAGGCCTTACTGTCATAGAGGGCCAGTCAAATTTGTGACTCAAGATCGTGTCATAGAAAAATGGGGCGTTCTTTCTCCATACTAGATGTCTCTCCTCCATATGCTGATCCAAGCAACTGCTGGAGCCTGAGGAGCTTTCCGGAGTAATAACGCCTGTGTTACAGCTACTGCTCGTGCTGAAGCACCTGCAGCTAGTGTCGTTGCACCCGCAACTACCGTTGCTGCAGCCGCAGTTACCGGTAGGCGGCGTTGCCGCCTGCACCACGGGCGAGAGCATTCCCACGGAGATGCTGTCTCTGGGGGCTACTCCTTCTACTTTTGCGTCGACCACGCGGCCCGTCACTCATACAACAAGAAATATGGGTTATATTTCTTTAGAAGGGGAGAAGATCACCAGACACTCCAAGGAATAAAGCTGCAACACCATAGGTAACTGCTTGCTCGTGTAGTGTTCCCTTCGCTTCCAGAGGAGAGTCAAGACACACAGCAGGATTACACACTCACTCAAAATCAAGCCTGGTACGGAGCAGTTGTACCGATTCGTGTATAAGCAATGTTGCGAAACACAAATAGCAGTTTTTGGGGCTGCATGAGCTTACCTCCATGGGGCTGCCACTGGCATGCGCTAAAAGTCCCAGTACTATCCACGTCTATGACAAATGAATTTTTCACAACACGTCTGCTCTGTCCAGTGGTGAATTAACATTTTCTTGGTGTAGTGGAGCTACTGGTTGAGCAGCTTTGGCCTCTCGAGGGGTATTGCATAACTGTAGTGTCAACGTTCACTCCGCTACACGCGGCTCTCTGCGATACTGTAAATGCCGCAGGATCTAGTTCAAAATTTGTATACGTTGAGATACATGATATCCTGGGGCATTCTCAGAAATTACAGCCGGGTGGATGCAACTAGAAGGTGATGGCGCAGTTGGTGCAGGTCGTGTGTTGTCTTTGTAGCGGCGCACTTCCAACCTTCCGTACACGGCATGATTACGACCATTTAATTTAAGCGACATTACAGATTAGGCTGGTGCATCAGCGATCCCTTTTTGTCCATTGATATCGCTTCATGTTGAGGAGGCGGCACTCAGTTGTGTCGTCCTTTCGTTCTGGGACCTTTTATTAGTGGACGCGGTTCGAACTGGGTTGACCGATTTTCACTCGTTTATATGCTGTGGCATAGTGAATGTTGAGAACGCTTCTGCTCTTTCGCTATGGAATACGTGATGTGGATGATAGTCTCCGAATGTTGAGGTCTACGCATATAGAGCAAGAAGTACGGGGATTTCATATGTCGGCTAGGTGTGTCTCCACAGAGAGAAAAGCGCTTCGGCTTACTCACGGGCCCTTTGCCTGGGGCACGCCCATCTCCTTGGTGATAATCGTCCCCATCAGAAATACGGGAACGGCGTCAGTAGGTGCAGAGTGAAAACAACTCTAAAAGAGAAATGTGTCTCTTTCTATTTTGACTGTTACAGTAAGTGTCACATGAAGCTTCAGAGTGCCAAGTCAGTCAGTGTATATCCTAGCAGCAGGCACTTCGTCCAAGCGTACGCTAACCGATGGGATCCTGAGGCAGAACAGAATATGTAATGCTGTAGGGAAAGAGCGCGTCTAGAATAGAATACTTTGGATGGTAAGACAACGCTTCTGCTACCTGATATCGCGCGCGCCTCGTAAGTGGGCAGTGGTGATAGGCGGGGAGATCTAGCCGACGAGCCACGGAATGACTGCAACACATTGAGCGGGTGAAAATGAGGGGAACATGATGTTCCGCGTATGCTGAAGGCTTGGCATTGCGAATCAATGACTGAACCGAAAGTTTCAGGTGAGCAGGATTAATGACGTGTTTTCTCTCACACTAGTTTCTTTCGTATCACGTAACAGGAAGCATCAATATATAGCGCTATCGACTCTGATTTTCGGAGGCCTGTAGGGCGGTGTAATCAATCAGACGCTGCTTAGGTCGTTATACGGATATAGTGCGAAGCTGCCTCCCCTAGGAGAAAGTACCCTTGAGAGTGAAATCGACAAAGGGGCGCGCCGCGTCGGTGTACTCCGGACTCATAAGCGTACGACAGGAATTGATAATTTCGAGCATTGAGGGGCCTTTCATTTCGTTAGTCAGCAATTCGGCTCTCGCACGAATGGCTTGTACTCTGCAGACTTTGCACGCTGCGCGCTGATAGTTCATCCGATGTAGATTGAGCAAATTACTTAGGCCTTGCTGCAGGAGGGAAACGTACCCAGGGACGTCGAAACTATAGACAAAAACGTCAACTAAGTACGCTTTGACGCCCTGTCCTAGTAAAGGCTGTTGATTGGCATGTTGGCCTGAAACATGACTGGGGAACACTTGAGGCCACAAGGCATAACTCGATACTCGAATACTCCCAAGACGGAACGGAAGGCCGTCCTCCAGCGAACTTCCTTAGCCATACGTATCTGATGGAATCCTGCTTCAAGGTCCAGAATGGAAAAATACTTGGCGCCTCCCTGCACCTCCAGAATGGTTTGAAGAGAAGGTAGTTGAAACTCAGGGGCTATCGTAGGGGCATTCAAAGCCGAGTAATTGACAACCATACGCATCTTCGGCTCCCCCGAACCATCATCGTGTTTGTCGACCATAATCGTAGGAGAGCAGATAGGCGAATACGTTGTTCCTATCAATCTATTGTCCGACAATTTAGCTATCTCCTGATTGTGGAATTTAAGCTGATCTGGTGTCATAAGGCAAATTGCATACTTCTCCGGGAGTTTTTCAGGTACAGGTAAGATATCATGGTCATGAGGGCGCTTTGGCGCCAATCCCTTAGACAATTTGTCTGGAAAGACCGCCAAATACTCCCGCAGCACCTTGATAATATGTGGCAGGTGTGTAGAGCAGGGCATATTATCTTCCACAGGCGTGAATCTCAAAGGGGATATCCTGTGCATCTGTCGACTTTATCCAATTGTGGCATTGTGTGTGCGCTAGTTTAGCCGTAGGCCAGAGAGAGTTTCCTCATCACCCGCTGCCGCTGAGACAGCGGGTGATGAAACAGCGAAACAGCGCGCCTGGCCATTCGCCGGATAACCTCCACCGACGAACCATTTTTTGGCAAAGCCAGTGCGACATGCAAGCCTTGCAATGGTGCCCTGAGACTCTTTGTGCTAGCATTTGCTTGGTGAATGAGCGACACTACCCGTACCTTCGCCTTTGTCTTCGCATGGGACTTTTATCTTTTGGGTGGTGGGCGCAAGAATATGGCGGCCTGCTCCGCGAACATGCGCGCCACATGCTTGGCCAATATCTCACAGGATTGCTCGGCAGGGATCCTTGGATGTACTCCTATAGGGCTGTCTCCCTGCAGTTTTTCGTCACCAGTCCTGACGACGGGTAGCTTGCACCACTTGCCGTTCACATACGTTCTCTGCTCTTCTGACTGAAGTACCAGGCTACCTTATGTTCAGTCAGCCAATCCAACCCCAGTACTAAGACACAGGGAATGAGCCACACTAAGAAGCCTCCCGAGAAACGTGCATCTCCGCACCATATCGCCAACCCCGTCACGTCACGATCAATGCGCAATTGTTCACCGGTAGCTACTGTGAACCTATGCTCTTCTGGAAGTCGCCGCACCTTGAGCTGGAGCCGTTCGACAGTTTCACAACTAATGAAGCTTTTCGTGGCCTCTGTGTCTAACAACGCCTCATATGGGCTCCCTATGCCCTCAACTCGGAGCACCCCTGTCGCACCCACATAGCACGATGCTTCCCCTTGGTTGTAAGTGTTCTTCGCGAGAGTCTCCCGCCACCACTGCGGCACAATCTTTGCTTCTTCTGGCCTGTAACCCTCTTCTGTTGCCTCTGTAGACTTCCCACTGCTGTCCCTCTTCTCACACGGGGCCTCTTCGCTCCGCGTTTCCAGTGGCGGCTGAATCCTTTGCGCGTCCTCATCTCTTGTATTAGCTCTATCCTCCGCGTTGAGTAGTTTGTCCCCCTACTCGAGGGAGACTGGAATGGTATTAGTGTAGTACACAGCGCCTTCTGCTGCGACTACGCTGCTACTGGCCCACGAATAGGGCACTCTTTGAAAAACCTTCTACTTTCGATGCATCTCTCATGAAAAAGATACCAAATTATCAACTGCAGCTGCCATCTTTCAAGTTCTCAAATTAATTTTTCTTAATGTTCCCCCAACTCAGGGTTCTTGCTTTTTTGTTCCTGTGGGCCGATGTCCCGCGACGGTGCTTGTAGTGCACAGCACCTACTGCTGCGACTACGCTGCTACCTGCACCCCTCGAGTAGGGGCCTACGATAACCGTCTACCTACGGCGCATTTCCTTGAAACAGTAGCCTAAACATCACGAAATACATTTATTCATAGTTTTTCAAAATCTGTTCTCTCCAAAATCCCCCCCACTCGGGGTTCTCGCCTCCTAGGCCCTGTGGGGAGGACGCCTGCGCCGGTGCTGGCGCTATCGCCAGCCCCAATCTCCGGGTATTTTCAGGCACGTCTAGTTTATATACGCTAATTCGCTGACAAATTGGCTTAATTCGATTTTATTAAGAATGTCCTGTCCTCGTACCGTATTATGACCTCTTGTAGGTCACCGGCTAGCTATTTTCTGTAGGTCACCAGCAAGCCTTATTCTAGTGCCTGTGCACTACCGTGCCAGCCCCAGTCTTCGGGTATTCACAGACTTGTCTAGTCTACGCATGCTAATTTAGTGGTCAGTTGCCTTACTTCGTTACTAGTAAGAAGTTTTCGCGCTCTCCCAGCTTCTCAACCTCTTATATGTCACCCGCTAGCTACCCTCTTAAAGTCACCAGGAAGCCCTATTGCTTTTAGTGCGTAGGCACTACACTAGGGCTTGCTGGTGACATATAGAGGATAGCTAACTGATGACCAATAAGCGGTTAAGAGGTTGAGACGCGGATTGAGAGCTGTAACATCTTACTAGTGAAATAGAAAAGCAATTTATTGGCAAATTAACATGTATATACTGGAAATGCCTGCGAATGCCCTTAGATTTGGGCTGCAGACAACGCTGGCACCGGTGCGCGTCACATCCTCACAGGACCAGCAGAACGAGAACCAAAAGAAGTGACTTTTATGAAATATGGTTTTGGGAACTTGAAACAAAATGGTCTTTTTAATAACTTAGCAGACGTTACGAGACCGATGGGTCTGTAGAAGAGAAGATTTTTTGGAACGCCAGAGTTGTGGGTCGTGCAGCATCGTAGACGCTGTAGAGAAGGCAGTGTACTACAATTGTAGTGCCTGCGCACTACAACTAGGGCCGGCCGCTACCGCACACGTCACACCCTTGCCGTGGGTAGGTGGCCTAGAATGCTTTTCTCCAACCACGTCTAGTCCCTGTTGTTTAAGCTGTCATTCCTCTCAGCGATGGGACGGGTGGGCTGTCTACTGCTCTGGCCCTCTGTCTCACTCCTGCCTCGGTCGTATGCAGGACAGTCCTGACCATAGTGTCCCACAACTCCACACTTTTTACAGGCCTCACCCGGACGCTTGGTACGTTCTCCCTTGCTTGGACAAACGCGTGCCGAGTGTCCTCGACCCAGACACTCATAGTCGTTCCGGAGTTTCCCTCTTGACCACTTTCGTTCTCCTGGTTCTTACGGGGTCCACTTGCGTGAACAGCCGCTCTCATGGCTCGATTTCTCCTTTCTCGCAGCTGTAGAGCTATATGTTTAGGTTGGTAGAGTCGCGCTGCGGCTGCTGCCGCTTGCTCCCATGAAGGGTACTTCACCTGCCCCTTATTGGCTATGAGAAGATGAAGGTCCGTTGGTAGCCGTGTGCAATAATAGCCAGCGAGTTCTTCGGGGGCGACCCCACGCCGCATTCCGCTACAGCCGCAAAATGTTCCGTGTACTCCTCAGGGTTTCCGTTCCACCGTGCCTTAGCCAACTCCCTCAAGAAAAGGCTCTGCTACAGCGTTTTGTCGAGGCTTTCTAAAAGCCTGCGTTATACCGCTTCCCAGTCACTTAGATCGATAGTCCGCCGTAAATACATCAAAAAGCTCGCCCCCATCAGTAGCATCACATGGCTCTAGCAATAAAGTGTATGCGTGGAAATAACTACTGTGCAGGAGTGAGTCACGGCGACGAGCGGGAGAAATGCCATATACGAAAAATTCATGTGAGTATTCAAGAGGTGTCACACAGCTGTACGGTGGCCGCATACACCTACAGCTCCTCGGGGGTATTCCAAGGACTACAAAGAGAATTGTCTGAAAAGTCTGGTGTTCAGGCAGCATTATTACCTCAAACTTCTGCACCACACTCCACTAACCTGAAGATGCCTGGTTCACATAGCGCCTTGATAAGAAATGCAGTGGCCTCTTGCATCTTCCGAAGCAAAACCAAGAAAGCGCTAGCATCATCTGGTGCCAAATCAAGAAAGAGCTCTCGCTTTTCCCTAAGTGCATGCTGTGAGGGAGGACAACCCAGGTGAGCAACAGTGAACCTCAGCGGCCCTTGGTATTTACGTGCCCATTTTCTACGGTATTTGAATTACTCGTCGACGTCTAGGCCATGAAATGGACACGCAGGGTTCACGTCCACATTTTCGGTGTTCTATTTTCAGAAATAAGTTTTGGATGTTCACAGAGAAGTGACATGCGCCTGCCGAGTCATTAAACTAGAATGAACTAAGAGGCCTGCAAATCACTTGACGATTTATTAGGAATGCCATGTGCGGTAATTTGAACCTGCAACTAAAAATGGCATTATGCTGTATCACAGTACCAAAAAGCTTCAGCGCGCGCTCTAGGTATGGCCGGTGAAGGAAATTTTACGGAGCAAACTCACCGAAATGTGATTACACTGCATAATAGAAGCAGCTTAGAGCTTGTGACGGCAGGGAAGCCGGTGTAGAGAAGGCAGCGAGCAAACAAAATAGTTACAATGCCTGCCCTCAATTTCTCTTGCAGCGAGAGCACAGGCCAGAACAGTGGTGCAGTCCTTGAAAGAGAAGACAAGAAAGGCTGAGCTCAATGACAAGAAAGGTAAAGGTATCTTTCAACAGCTTCGAGTTCAGGCTGTAGCTACAACTGCTTGATATCGCCAGTTCGCTGCGTGCGCCGCAAGGCCTGCCTTGCGGAAAGGCCTGCCTTTCAAGAAAGTGGGTTGTGGCAAGACATTGGCAGGCAAAGGCCGGCCTTTCAAGAAAGTGGGTTGTGGCAAGACAATGGCAGGCAAAAAGCTAGACGCATTGCCGTCAGCGCGGAAAAAGTAAGGATCTGGCCAGAGGATATGTGGGCAAGAACAAGTGGCCGCCCGTTTCACGTTGTGAGAATGCAGATCTCGGAGTGCTAGGCTCACTGATTGCCGCTCGCGAAGGGGCGATGGCAATTAACACCTTCATGCAACGAAAAACGCGAGGCACGGTCAGAAATAAATACAAAGTTGCTCACAAGACGTAGCTGATAATGGCACTTCAAGCGAATGGAAGAGCCCTAGAAGTGACAGCGGGACCCCAGATGGCCATCCACGGAGTTTATTAAAGCGGCAACACGAGCGTTTGAGAGAGAAAAAGCAGGAATATCTGATTCCAGGTGCCTTGTGTCACGGACAGTAGTAGCTCCAAATTCTCCGCCAACAGTGTCTCCCTATACCACTAAGAAAATACTGATTATGCGAAGCCACCAAGAGCCAATTAGCAAGACTACCACTGATAGAGCAGCGTTGAGAGATACTAGGGATACATAAACCAGTAAAACTAAGGGCACGCGTTCCTGTAAAGAGGCGGCCGGCATGGGGGATTCTTCAGTTAAGAAGAGGCCATGTCGAAGCTACAGAAACGCGGTACTTCAAGCGCCGTGGCAAGCAACGCTGTGGAAGCCGTTAAGATAAGCACATAATTTTCGCAAGATGCCTTGGGGGAA